AGACATGTGCTGGTACACTGTCTGATAGCAGATATGTGCTGGTACGCTGTCTGATAGCAGACATGTGCTGGTACACTGTCTGATAGCAGATATGTGCTGGTACGCTGTCTGATAGCAGACATGTGCTGGTACGCTGTCTGATAGCAGATATGTGCTGGTACACTGTCTCATAGCAGACATGTGCTGGTACGCTGTCTGATAGCAGACATGTGCTGGTACGCTGTCTGATAGCAGACATGTGCTGGTACACTGTCTGATAGCAGATATGTGCTGGTATGCTGTCTCATAGCAGATATGTGCTGGTACGCTGTCTGATAGCAGACATGTGCTGGTACACTGTCTGATAGCAGATATGTGCTGGTACGCTGTCTGNTCTGTATTATGTATACTTTGTATATATGTATACTCTGTATATATGTATACTTTGTATATACATGTATACTTTGTATATATGTATACTCTGTGTATAATATATGTATACTCTGTATATATATGTATACTCTGTTCTATCTACTATGCTATAGATCCGTAGCAGCCTGATGACGGGAGAGACGGTGCCGTGCCGCGCGGTGACGGATGATGATGCGCAGACTGTCAGGTGAGTGTGTGAGGCTGTCTCATAGCAGACAGTCAGGTGAGTGTGTGAGGCTGTCTCATAGCAGACAGTCAGGTGAGTGGGTGAGGCTGTCTCATAGCAGATATGTGCTGGTACGCTGTCTCATAGCAGATATGTGCTGGTACGCTGTCTCGCTATCAGACAGCGTACCAGCACATATCTGCTATCAGACAGCGTACCAGCACATGTCTGCTATCAGACAGTGTACCAGCACATGTCTGCTATGAGACAGTGTACCAGCACATGTCTGCTATGAGACAGTGTACCAGCACATATCTGCTATAGACAGCGTACCAGCACATGTCTCCAGCACATATCTGCTATGAGACAGCGTACCAGCACATGTCTGCTATCAGACAGCGTACCAGCACATGTCTGCTATCAGACAGCGTACCAGCACATATCTGCTATCAGACAGCGTACCAGCACATATCTGCTATCAGACAGCGTACCAGCACATATCTGCTATCAGACAGCGTAGGTGTTGTGTTAACAAATATGGCAGTCGTCCGTACGTGTGGTGTGTCAGCTGGCCCAGTCTATGTAGAGACGTATATAGACTAGTCTATCTCATGCCTCTACTACACATCATAAATAAGTTAATAACTAGCTGATTCCTGGGTTATAGAGTATGTCTGGTGTCTCTACTGTGTCGAGTGTCCCTTAAACACAGATGGCGCTAGCTGGTCTGAGGTGTCTACTGAGTCCAGCCCTCCTAAAAAAACAGGCGGTTTTAGCATCCCCGGTGTATCTTGGTTTCTCGCTGCCTCTTGACGTGATGCGGCCATGATGCCAAGGCGTGCCGAGGATTGACACTTTGTGTCTTCCAATCACAGCCTACGCCGCACCTCTCTATTATAATTTTTATACTATGTCTCATCCGCGCGCAGCGCTTAGATTTCAAACACACGCAACTCTTGTAATGTCTCTCTGTTACTCTGACGTATCTAGCGTCGTTACTGGTGACTGGGACACTCCCGCTACTACTAACTGTTGTGATGAAATCATCGTTTGCAAAACTCACAGTTTATCAGCTGTTACGTGAGTGTGTAACTACTAACGTGTTGGTGTGGTCTTCTCTCTGTCTGTCTTTGACGTGACACGATGACGTTGCAGACAGAGATGATTTAAATTTCTCTTTTCTCTCTTTTCCTCGCTGCACAGTTTCAAAATTGGGAAAGGTATATTTTCATTTGCTTAGAAATAGTCTTACATGTGAGCAAGTGAGTGAGTGAGTGAGTGAGTGAGTGAGTGAGTGAGTGTGATGAGTGAGGAGAGTGAGTGTGCGATGAGTGAAGTGAGTGATGTGAGTGTGTGAGCGAACGAGCAGAGCGTGTTTTTCGTGAGTGAGTGAGTGAGTTGAGCTGTGTGCGTGCCTGCGTGTGTGAGCGAGTCAGTGAATGATCGGGTGTCGTCATGGTGAAGTCCAGTGGGTGACAGAGTGACAGAGTGACAGTGTGTCCTGTTTATATGCAACGTATTATAAATACTGTTGTAGCATAATCTCTTGAGCCCTTTGTCTATATATTCGTTCAAATTATATATGCTTGTTCATGAAATATTCTTATTCGCAAATGCTTATTCATGGATTACGCTTATTCATGAATTACGCTCATTCGTAACGCGCTACTAACCTTGAACATACTTTTCCACGACCTCACATAATAGATCTTCAACCTGTCGTTATAAACTAATACCTTCTGTATGTTTCGTCTCACTAAGATTTTCGCTGATAATCGATTATGGCATTAGGCGCTCACTTGTTTCTCGCGTCGAGAGCTCGCACGAGTTCTCACCGTCGAATAATTTCCATTTTCTAGCACCAGATGGTGCCCTTCAGACTCGTCAGATTGGGAGAATTCTAGAGTAGTTTTCAGCACGTGTGAAGCGGTGGAGGTAAACTTTCGTTACTAACCTCTCTCATACTCATGGCACCGTGGCACGCGTGTGTAAACCCGGCTACTGCAATCCCTGCTGATGCTCCCTGCATGTGCTGCCATCTGTGCCGGATGGGTGTTACTATAACTTTTGGTGTCGTGAGTAGCGCGGCGATGTGATTGGTCGTGATCGCTCGTCGCCATGGAGACGAGCCGGCGATTAAGCTGCTTATTGACGTGCAAGGCGGTTGCCGTGGCGACAGCGTTTGCGATGCGCGCTTAGCAGTTGGACGTGTGCATGTTAGTTTAGTGGCTCAGCGTGTGTGGTGTGTGTGTGTGTGTGGTAGGTTTGACAGCACCTGGTTGCTTGATTATTTACCTTCTGGAATCTGAAATCCGTAGTCTGTTGTTACTTGGGGTTTAGTGTTCGCTTGGTTGGTTGACCTCTGTGTGCTCTCCTCCTACACTTCCTTCTTAGGCTTGGTTCTGAACTACATTATGTTCTTATGGCTGTCAACTCGTACATAGCTCTACTACAACGCACGAAAATTATAAATATGTGTGTGCGTGTTATTATTTTTTGTCTTATTATCAATATTATTAACGTAAAGGATCTTATTGCATTGATATGGCGTGTGGTGCAACTTTTTGCAACCATTATAAATTCGTCTGCCAATAACGTGTGTGCATGCATGAGTGCGTATATATANACTCACCTGACTGTCTGCTATCAGACAGCCTCACACACTCACCTGACTGTCTGCTATGAGACAGCCTCACCCACTCACCTGACTGTCTGCTATGAGACAGCCTCACACACTCACCTGACAGTCTGCTATGAGACAGCCTCACACACTCACCTGACTGTCTGCTATGAGACAGCCTCACACACTCACCTGACTGTCTGCTATGAGACAGCCTCACACACTCACCTGACTGTCTGCTAT